GCCGCGCCGCGCGCCCCCGCGGACGTCCTCACCCACCGCGGGCTGCCCGCTAGGACAGGGCGATGCGCGGGGGAGGGGAAGGACGGCCCGGCCCCGGTCCTCACTCACCGCCGAGCCGCGCCGGCTCCGAGTGCGCGGTGTTCCTCTGTGAGGCGAGGCGATGCGCGCGGTCCCCGCTTCTCCGCAGGCTATGGAGGCGACGTCGCAAGGGGACTGAGGGGCGCCGGGGTTCACTCCCTCCCGCTTCACCTTCCTGAAGCACGGGGACCCCAGAAACTAAAAACAAAATAAACAAACTTTCCCCTCCGCCTCCCTCCCCCAAAACCACAACACAAACACTCGAGGGCCCGCCCAGAGCCCCACTCCATTGGCCGCAGGGAGGATGCCTCCAGCTCTCACTGGCTGGTTTTTGTGCCCGTCAAGCTGCCGTTCCGCCCCTCCAATTCCGCGCCGCTGCCGTAGCCCCTCATTGGCTAAGTGCTTCCCGTTTGACGAGCTAGGATTGGCTGTACGGCCTGCGCCAATCATGCGGGGACACACCCCCTCAGCATCCCAGAGGCCGCTTCCTCGGTCGCGGACCCAGAGAGGCGCAGGGGAAACTAGAGCATGATGGCGGCTGAACTCGCTTGGCACAACCATCGTCTTTTTTCTTTCTTATTTTTTTAAGCTCATTAGCGCTTCTCCCGGGTGCTGTTTCCCCTAAGCACCTCTCTCCATCCAGCACTGCCTAATAACGGAATCTATACGTGCCGGCTCCTTGATTTATTTCCTGCGAAGTGCTGAGTGTGGGCTGGTGGTGCGTCATTGGACAGACAGGATGTCGCTCCCGAGTCAAATCTCACACTATTGGCTGAACGGCAAGACAGCCCGGCCAACAAGAAGGGCTAACGCGATTGGTTTGACTCCTACTGAGTTCTTTCCTGGTACCTTATTGGCCACATCTGACGGTGCGCCCGTCAGATCCCGATTCTGTGCACAATTAATTGTTTAGCAGGGAGTTGGGGGCAACTCTGTTTGCCCAGTGCGTGACAGTGCTAATGACTACCATTTAATGTGCGTCTTTTATGTCACGTACTGTACTGAGTGCTTTAGACAAATTATTTGGTTAAACTTGTGATCTATACACTAATTTTTATAGATAGGAAACTAAGCTTCTGAGATGATAGGTAGCCAGGTCAAGGTCATCCAGATAGAAAGCGGTTGGCGGGCCCTGCGTTGGGTACCACATCTGTCTGGCTCCAGAACCTTCAGTATTCTGGTTATGTTTTAGTGCCTGTACTTTGGCTCAGAATCGCATCTGTCAGCCAACCCATCATCTTAAAAACCTTTCTGAAGGAATCCAGGTTCCTCGGTTTTTGGCAGTGTCATTCTTGGAAACTGCCTATTGGAGTGGCTGTCATCCTCCACCTCGGTATCCTTTCTTCCCCATCCTAAATTAAACAGTCTTGACATTTCCTGACAAGAAGCACATCTATACTCGTTCGTTCTTTCAGCTTTGTAAGTGGACGATTACCATCACTGTGTGTCAAACACCATCCTCCCACCTCCAAACCCTGAGCATCTATCTTGCTTGTTCCTTAGCGAGAGTCCTCAAGAGCAGGAAACAAGAAGAAATAAAATCTAGAGCGAGATAATAAATAAATAAATAAATAAATCGCCTTAGAAATAAATAATTGATTACATGCTATTGGAACAGCTCTTCAGCTCCTGGAAAGCCTCCAGGTTAGCTGATGCTGAGCAAGCCGTGTCCTCCTGGCTCGTGGCCACTGAGTTCTTTCTGTGGCAGCTTTCATGGAAGTGAATACACAGTTCAGCCAGGGGAGGGCGGGATGCTTGAGACCCACTGCCAGTTCCAATCCTCTGGAACCAAAATGATCTCCAGGAGCACAGCACTGGACTCTGGCCCACATTCCGTCTTGGGTAATTAACATTTTACCATCCCAAATCCCTATCCCCTGTAGCTTTAGTGGGATCGTGGCCCTTGTTTCGTTTCTTGATCCAAGCTGTTGTGTAATCTTCTTGGCATTGCTTTAATAATAACTACGGAAACAATAATAAAGTTTAACACTTACAGCCTTTCAGCAAAGACAAGGTATTTCACAAACATCAATTAAGAGTAAATGGAGGTATTCCTAGGGCACCTGTAAGAAGGACAACACAAAGAGTATGAGTCAAATTCTAATAAAAGGCCTAAGCACGTGAATCATTACAATGCCACATGCATAGCCCATATTAGCATTGCAATATGGGTATTTTAAACTAGAAAACACAGTGAATGAGAGATGCCCAAGGTTTAGAACTTTACTAACTGTCAGACCTGCTTGCTGGTACTCCTGTTTTAACCCTTAAAATAGTACTTGGTCTTTTTTTTTGGTGGGGGAGGTGTTTCTGGTACCGGGAATTGAACTCACAACGTTGCGCTTGCCAGGCAGGTGCTGTGCTGCTGAGCTAAATCCCCAGTCCCAGTACTTGGTCTTATAGTTAATTATTGGATACATACTGATTTTAAGAGATGGGGTGGGGCTGGTGATTGAACCAGCCCTTTGCTCTGAGCTACACACCCAGCCATTTTGATTTTTTATTTTTTAACTTTGCAACAAGGTCTAACTAAGTAGCTAAATTGTCCAGGCAGGGCTTGAGCTTTTGATCCTCCTGCCTCAGCCTAGAGGGATGGGATTACAGGTGTGCACTAGCACACCTGCCTGGCAAGTTTTGGAGGGTTGTTTATTTGTTTTCAGTGTTGGGGACTGAGTCCCGTGCCTCCCGCATGCTAAGCAAGCATCCAGCCCCTGAGCTACACTCTCCGACTTTTTGATTTTATTATTTTGGGGAAGGGTTTCACTGAATTGCCAGGACTGGCCTCAAACTTGAGATCTTCCTGCTTCAGTCTTGAGTAGCTGAGGTTGCAGAAATGTGCCGCCACATCTTGCTATCCCAGTTGCAAATTTCTGGAAATAGTTTTCATATTCGTGTCCTGTGGTTGCTCTGATTCTAAAAGGCCTTCAAATAAGTAGTTATTCAGTAAATATTTAGGGATCATGCCAAGCACTTTCCTGAGGTTCCAGGGTCATACAGACGAATAAAGCATCTTCTGTGCCATCAGTCAAGTGGGGGTTGCCAAGTCACAGGGTAGCACTTTGGTAAGGTGCCCTGGAAGCACCCTGGGGGCTCAATTTGGGAAGGAAAGGGACAGCTTCTCGGTAGAGGTGACATATACAAGGAGAACTGAAGGACGAATGTGGCTAGTTAGGCAAGAGACAGGATAGGGGGTGACCTGCAGGGCTTACTCTCTGGGGCCTGGGGAGCAAGATAGGAATATTCGGGAGCAGCCAAAACTTGTTCTTCCTATCATCTTTGTCTTTGAAGGCCTTCAACTATTTGTCTATTTCAGCTCATTGTGCTTTCTCTCTCCGGGAGAAAGCAGGCAGCTGGGAAACCCTGTCATGTGTGTCCACTTGAGAATTAAAAAAATAATTTCTAAATAAGATTGCCGTTTTTCTGATCATAGAAGTAACACTGAGTAAATATGTTATGTTTACTCACTCAATACAACATCCTATATTTCAGATAATATAGAAAATTACAAAGTAGAGAATAAAGGCTTTCCACAATCCCACTGCTGCAGCTCCCACACATTATGGAGAGTCTCCCCAAACTCTTTCACGAGTAGACCCATCTGTGGATTTCTTCCAAAACACAGTAGGATGTGGCACAGGGTCTCATCTGGCTCTGAGATGTCTCAGTACTCCAAACTCCAGCTTTGGATAGGGCGCAGCCCCACTTTCTGTACAGAATCATCAGCCAGTTTGATTGATTTATTGATTCTCTTGGAGGATGAGAGTTTGAAATTCCTGTCACAGTAAATACCAGGACTTTGGGGGCTTGTCCAGCCTGGTGTGAGTGTGTGGGACAAAGATGTCTGCTGAACTCGTCCTCACTGCCTTAAGGCTTTCGGTCATGCCTTGTTGACCATGGCATCAATCCAGGTCCTGAAAGGCAGCCCAGGGCAGGGAATGACATGCTAGGATGCTCTCCTAGGCTAGTTCTCATTTCCTCTCTGCATGCTTTTTGGGGAAAGTATTTTTCATTTGTTCTAACCCATCCAGATTTGAGAGTCAAAAGACCTCTAAGCCCTGCACACGCTTATGCTGGCCACGTGCACTGTATTTTTAGAGGGCGAGATGGTTGATTGATTGTGTCAATTTGAGTAAGAGAAGCTTAACCCCATCGGCTCAGCAATTCTACACCCTAGGGAAGACCCGCCCTGGGGCTGCTCGTCACCTGGATGGTCTAAAGGGGAAATGAAGGACAGATCTGTTTCTCTTTCTCTGCTTCAGTGCAGCTCCAGTCTTCGCCTTCACTTTGGACGTCATCTCTTGGCTTCTGGTGCAGATCCTTCAACCTTCCAGCACAGACTCTTCAACCTCCTGATGTGAGCTCACGAAGGACACTGCAGTGAGCTCCAGACCTTCGACTGGCTCCTTTGCTCTCCATTGTGCAGACACCCTCCGCACTCTTCCTCATCTGACTCTTGGGTGGCCATTGTAAGCCAACTTTGTAAATGGTTATATATTTGTATATCTTGTGTTACATCGGTTTCTTTGGTAAACACTGACTGATACAGAGGGCCATCCTATTCTTACAGCTCTGTCTAGTTGGCTTTTTGCTGGAGGGGAAAGCAGGTTTAATGAGTGATTGCTGCCTTGGATGATTACCAAAAGTGCTCCAAGCCATCCCAATCAACAGTCTTCCCTCTTATCCCGTGAGAGATTGTGCTGTGATCTCTGCCCTTGGCCTGGACAAAATCCAAAGCAATGGGAATTTTTTGTGAACAATTCTTCAACGCCCCGCAAGCTCGGCGAGGCGGGGCCAGCTGGATCTGCTCCAGCTCTGATCTCTGTGGTGCGGGAGAGCACTCTGCACACTTTGCACTGGGCTTTCCCTGCTGAGGCATTTGGCAATGTTTGTAAAACATTCTCCAATTCTCACAGCTTCTAGCAATAGGGCAATCCCTGTGAAGGAACCTAATCCAAAAGACAGGAGACAGCTGACAGCTGATAACTCAGGCATGGGTGTGGCTGCAGCCAGAGACCAGGAGCAACAGGGGAGGAGACCGTGTTTGAGGGAGCTGATTACAGAGGCCAAGCTCAGAAGCATTTATTAAATGCCTGGCACCATCTACTGTGCAACCAATTCCTCGAGGCAGAGGCTGTGCTACTTCCAAATCGCCTCTCATCTTTTATGACCTCACTTCCTAAAAAGTCTCTCAGTTAAGCAGCACACAGGAGGGGGGCATGTCACAAGAGGACCAGGAGTTGTGGTTGTTAATAATAATTATCCGGTCCTGGATGTGTGCTATGTGTCAGACATTGGACTGAGTTAATTGACAATAACCATGTCTGTCCCCATTTTCTGGCTAGG